TGATGAGGATGAGGATGAGGATGAGGATGAGGATGATGATGATGATGATGATGATGATGATGATGATGATGATGATGATGATGATGATGCTGATGCTGATGCTGATGCTGCTGCTGCTGCTGCTGATGATGATGATGATGATGATGATGATAATGATGATGCTGATGCTGACGCTGCTGCTGCTGCTGATGAAGATGGTGAGGAGGAGGATGAGGAGGAAGAGGAGGAAGAGTATTAGTCTGAACCCAAGACGTATTCACGCTATTACAGGGAAAGCTCCCAAGTTTCCTCTTCATATGCCCCTCCAAGGATTCGTCTTCAATGGAGGAAGTGCCCCGTTGGAGAATAACCGTCGGCAAATCCTGAACTGTTCCAGAACACCATCCATGGGATTCTAACGCTGCGATTCACTTGTACTGTTGTGTCCTGACGTTCCAGAGTCGTGCTAGAACACCATTCCTGGATCGTCAACACGACGATTTAATGTAAGTGGGGCACCCTGACAATCGGACAATGTGCCACAACACAATTTCTCGGTACCCTGAGAATCCTTGAGACTGTTGTAAACTCTCAAAGCGAATATGCTCGGCGTTCAGGCGAGAGCTACATGTTGAAAAGGAACGACCCTCCATCCGTGAAGCTCTTGCACATTTTTGAGATGTGTAGGCGAGGGCCACAATATGAAAACCAACCGCCCTCCATCCGTGAAGTTGCTGCAGATGTCAAGCTTCAGGATCATAAGTAGTGAGGAAGTCTCAGGCGAAACGCCTGGCCCGCCCTTCCGGCTTGCCTCGGGTGTGACAGGGAGAAATCATTCGTAAAGGAAACGAATTTCGGAGGGTGGAGGAGGAGGAGGAGGAGGAGGAGGAGGAGGAGGAGGAGGAGGAGGAGGAGGAGGAGGAAGAGGATGACAAGGATGTGGGAGAAGGCGATGGCGACGATCCCGACGATGACGACGAGGACGATTCAAACATACATTCACGTTCGGATCTTTGCTTAGGAGCCTCTTCGAAGCCTCTTTGGACCATCCTTAGGCCCTCTTGGGGTCATTTTGGGAGCGTCTGGAGCCCTCATGTGGGGCCTTGTGTGGCCGTCTTGGGAGTCTTGAAGGCCCCCTCAGTGCCATTTTGGAGGATATCGTCTACATAATGGGGGGCCCTCTTTGTTGTTCTCTCTGGGGCTTCACTAAATCCTTCTTGAGGCCCTCTTTTGGGCGCTCTTGGGCGTTATTGGGGCCGTCTTCGGGGAATTCGTTAGGCCTTCGGGGCCTTCTTCGGGGGTCTCCTCGTGTCCTGCTGGAGGCCCTCTTGGGGCCAGCGTGGAGGACATCGATCAAAGAAGGGGGGGAGTTCTCAATTTGGCCTACCCTTCTTGAGCCCAGCAAGTCGCCTCCTGGGACCCTCTTCGCAAGCTCTTGGGCGCTCTTGGGACCGTTTTGGGGCCATGTGGGGCCTGTCTTGGGGCCCTCTTGAGCCTTCTTGGAGCCGTCTTGAAGCCTGAACAGCTCATCCTAAGCAAAAAGGCGAGAAGGCATAAATCATTTGCCATCCTTTGGTTTGATGCTTTTGGCTTCTTGGGGGCCTCCTTGGGCGGCTCCGTGGCCGATTGGACCAGTCTCGGGGTCTCGGAGCATGGTTGAAGCCAAGAGCCCTCTTGGGGCCAGCTTGGGCCATCTTGGGCGCTCCAATCGGTCGCGGCCTCATCCTCAGTCCAGACACATTGGGAGGACTTCCCCTGATGCGGCGGTTGGACCCCTCCAGTCGCCAGAAAGGCACTGCACCGCCCAGCTCCAGATCCCTCCATGTTGCGAGGAGGCTTACAATACCCGAACACCGAGGTCCCCGAGACGCCCCCGCGACGTGCCCAAGAGGGCCCGGAGGCGGCCCCGCACCTCTCCAGTCTGGCGTGGCCTGCCGTGCAGGTCTGCCGTGCTGGGCTGCCGTGCCAATCCGTCGTGCCGGGCTGCCGTGCTGGTGGGTGCCTGCCGCGTGCACGCGCTCCCTTTCCTCGGTCCCTCGCCCCGTCTGTCTCGTTCGCGCCGTGTCCCGGGCTCGTGCCTCGTTCATTCAAGAACTGGTTTGGGCGAGCGGGGGGCCCTGGCGAGGTGGGGGTGGCGAGGAGGAAGCGCCTCGAGCCACCTCCGCCCACCGGGCTGGTGGGCTGACGCTCATGTGTCTTTCGGCTCTGTGGGGAGGGTGGGGCTGGGGGGGGCGCTCCTGCTCTCTCCTCCGCCTCCTCTCTCTCTCTTTCTTCTCCCCCCTTTTCCCTCCTCCCTCCTCCTCCCTTGCTCCTCCTCCTTACGCCTGCCCGTCCTCCCCCTCCTCCTCCTCCTCCTCCTCCTCCTCCTCCTCCTCCTCCCTTTCCTCCCTTTCCCCCCTTTCCTCCCTTTCCTCCCTTTCCTCCCTTTCCTCCCTTTCCTCCCTTTCCTCCTCCTCCTCCTCCTCCTCCTCCTCCTCCTCCTCCTCCTCGTCCATCCCTCGTCCCATCGACGATTCGTCGTCTGACCAGCAGACGTGTCGGTAGGGCGGCCTGGGTGTTTCGCCTGAGGCCTCCCCGCAGCCGAAGGTCCTGAAGCGTTACGTTCTCCTTGCCTGTGATGATGCGGGATGGGTGGCTTCCAAACGGTGCTCTCGCGTGTGGGCCGCGCACATTCGATTTCGCCGTTTGTGAGACATGTAAGGACTCAGGGGGTGGTGGCACACTCTTCTGATGGGGCTCCGGTCTCAGCACCGCGCCTATCAGTTTTAAACGTCTGCAGCCCATGATGGGCCGTCTTCCAGCTGGGGTCTCGTCGTAGGGCCGCGCACAGTCGTGTTAGTAACTTTGCAACGGTTGCAAGGATGGTGGTTCGGTGTCAGACTCGTTATTTTGCGCATCTCACATTCGGGCCAAACGTTTGCAACGGTTACATGAACGGAAGGCGCTTCGATCTCGCTTGATATTTTTGACACCGAGCTGCACAGATGATCGGCGGTTTTTCAAAATAGGACTGGCTTGAGATTTGTTCGAAGCTCGTGGCCAGAAACACCAGCTTGTGCAACAGTTTCACACATGAGGGCTGTCCTTTTTTTCCACGCGGGGATATTGCTGGACATCTCGTCGTGTTGTATGATTATGCATGCTTGCGTTCCTGGCTATCAGGTATAAGTATGCGAGGCAGTTGCTTTTCGAAGCGGGGCCTTTGCGTGAGTGGTAGGCCACTGCAGGGGGCTGGTCTGTCTTTCGAGGGGGCGCTTCTTGCAGTGAGCAGGAAGGCCTGTATGGACTGAGGAGGGAACCAGTGACGGGAGGGTGAATTGCAGCATCGTTGATGAATCTTTGGTTTGCTCTGGTCCTCCTCCCTTCTCCCGCCTCCTCGGCCAGGGTGGACGGTTGGGGCCGCGATGGTTTCTCCGCCGCCGGGCAGGGCGGCAGATCAACGCGGCCAACACTGGTATTTGTGCGCAGCGCTACAAACTTGTGGCCCAACAGGGCCCCAGTTCCCTCTTGCCGAGTCGATCCGAGCCTCCTCCTGGCTCCTGCCTCCCTCCCTCTCTCTTCCCCAGCCAGGGCAGTTGTGCGCCTTCTCTCTCCTCCCCCCTCTGGCCCTCCTCCCCTTCGGGTCCTCCTGCCCTCCCTCCCGCCCCCTCTGGTCCTCCCGCCCTCTTCTCCTCCCACCCCCTCTGGTCCTTCCGCCTCCTCCCACCACCACCTCCTCCTCCTCCTGCTCCTCCTCCTCCTGCTCCTGCTCCTCCTCCTCCTCCTCCTCCTCCTCCTCCTCCTCCTCCTCCCTTCCTCCCTCCCTCCCTCCCTCCCGCCCTCCCTCCCTCCCTCCCTCCCTCCCTCCCCCGCCAGGGCAGGTGCACGCTCTCTTCCCTCTTGGCTGGGTGGCTCCCCGCGTCCGCCGCGCGGCGAGGAGGGCAGGCGCCCTTGGTGGGAGGAGTCCTCCCCCGAGAGGCCGCGGCCGGTGGGGCCAGCCCGAGGGTCCGCCGCGGGTAGGGGGCACGCACCCAGGCCCCCTCGCGTGGTGAAGACGTCACGACGGAAGGTTTTTCGCGATTTTCGGCCCCCGGGGGCCCTTCCCGGGCTTCGGGACCGTCAGAGAACGATTCGGGATGAAACACGGGTCCCGAGGGAAGGGTCAAGACCTCCTGGGGTCGAGACAAACATCACGACGTCGGGGGTCTGGGTAGAGGGGGGGTCAGCCCGAGGTCGGGTCAGGGGGTGTGTCAAGCTCGAGGCTGGCGTTTCCCTCTCCAGGGGCCGTCCAGGGCGATCTTCCCCCACCCCCACCTCTGCCCTGACCCCACCTCTGCGTGCCCCCGAGCGGGGGGGGGAGGGAGTCGGCGACCTCCGAGGGTGTGGTTACGCCGGGCTCCATGTGGAGGTGCCCGTGAATCTTCGGAGGCATTCCGAGATCCTCGGGGGTTCCTGGAGGAGGTTTCCGGAGGCGGTGTGGTTTGCGATTTGTGTCGTCGGGGCTCGGGGGGCGCCGCGTTGCCTTCGTCGGGGCGCGGCGGAGAACTCTGTCGATGTCCTGGTCCGCTCGTCCAGGACGACTGCGCGTCTGCGCTGCGTGCTGCAGGGGGGACCCTCGGGGCAGGTCCACCCCGCTGCGGGCGCCAGCTGCCCTGGAGAGGCCCACGGGCCCGCGGGGGACGGGGGGCAGGAGGCGCTGGAGCGGGGGACGGCGGAGCGGGAAGAGGACGGGGGACGCCGGGGGATCACTCGGGGTGCGGGGGCTGCCAGAGCGGGCTTCCCCCTCTCGCTCCCTCGCCTGGCGCGCACCCTCCTCCCCGTCCTCCTCTTCTCCTCCTCCCCGTCCTCCTCCTCCTTTTCCTCCTTTTCCTCCTCCTCCTCCTCCTCGCCTCCTCCAGCTCCTCTTCACCTTCGGCTGGGCGAGCTCATCCTTCTCGCCCCTCTTCCCTCCTCGTCGCATCGTCGCGAACCCAGGGTCGTCGAGGGCGGCCAAGAGGTTGGTCAGGACTAGCAGGGGGGGAGTGGGCATCCTGGCCAGGGCCACGACGTCTCCGCAGATTTTATACCTCCCGTTTAATTTCAACGCGTCCCTTAGTTGCCCCCTGGGCCGCGCACGTGCCTCGGGCCATGATTTACAATGACAGAATCCGAGTGCTGCTCTCCTCTCTCCCCTGACGACGTCCGGAAGGTGTTCGGCCCCCTTCCGCGTATTTTTGTTTTTTCACACGGGGTTTCATGGAAAGGGAGTTTTGCCAGGTTTCTGTTCCAAATGCTGCTCCCGCTGAAGCGCGGGCCTCATGTTCGGGCGTTCGCTCGTTCCGAGTCGTGCTCCCGCTGCAGCGCTGGCCTGATAGGGAGGGCTGGGAGGCATGGGTAGGACGTCGGACATGACTCGAGCGCACCTAGCTTGGCGACCCCCCCTCCCTGGGCGCCCCCGTGGGAGGCCCCCGAGATCGAAGGTCGAGGAAGGGCCCGGGCCCTTTAGGGTGTCGTGGCGTTCTCGGGGTCTCCTGGGGCGTCCTGGTGGCCGCGAAAGGAGCCGCCTCGAAGGGTTGGCCAGAGCGCACCCAAGGAGAGGTGCGGGTCGAGCCTGAGGTCCAGGCTCAGACCTGCAGCGACGCAGCAAACACATGTTCGGGGTCTGAGGGCTGGGGTCTGTCCGAAAACGATGTGGGATGAGCAGTTCCAAAAGAAGGCGGCGGCATCTCTTGCGAATTGAGCAAGTCAGTTCGGGGTAGGTGTGAGGATGGGCGGGCAGGAAACATCAAAGCACAGTCTCCAGAACCGACCCACCAAGGCACTTTTTTTCTCTCCCGTCGCGGCGCGGCAGAGGCAAGCCGCACGCGCGCTCTTGTATGTAATTAGCCCCGGCGAGGCGTATTGATTGTCCAGCGGCACGCGAAGGGGGGGGGAAGGGGGAGGGAGCGCGGCCGCAGCAGCGGGGCAAAAGAGGAGGGCCTTCGCTGCGCGAAGAACTTGGGCAGGAGCGGCGGGGCCAGCGAGGCGCTCGCAGCCGCAAGATGCTGCTAAACCGCCGTGCTGCGCTGCGGGGGGCCGGGCTTGCGGGACGGCTGGCTGCAGCGCCACCGAGGGCAGCAGCCGGGGGGCCGCGAGCAAGGCACCGCCTGCAGTAGTGGCGTGGGCGGCGCGGCGCCGACACCCGCCGCCAGAAACGCCCCAGCAGCGGCAGCCCCGGCGAGGGGCGGGGGCGGGAGGTCACCACCCACCAAACCACCCCAACCCAACCCGAAGGTCCAAATTCATCCTCGATTTCCAGTGGGGGGGGTCGGGGAACATTGAAAAAACACATGGAACCCGTGCCCCCCCCACCCGAAATTCGGGTCTTCGGGTTGGGCTGGGGTGGTCTGGTAGGTAGTCAGGAGGGCCGAGCCCGTCCGGTGCACGCATCGCAGCCCCGTGTGGCGGGAACGCCGAAGCTTCACGGGCGAACAACATCATCAGATCAACTTTTTCGCTGTCGGGGGCGCCTGGCCCAGGGCGGCCAGAAAGTTTATACCCTTACGGTGGCACCGTAGGGGCATAAACTTTCCAGCCGCCCAGGACAGGCGCCCCCGACCAGCGAAGAAGTTTATTTGTATACCGCTCTTCGCTCGCTGAGAAACACACAGGGCTGGCGTGGCGGGGGCGCCCAGGCGCAGGAGCGGCGGGGCCAGGGCGGGAGAAGGCGGGCGCGTTTCCATGCGTCCTGCAGGCCCACCGGGGCGCCCGGCCGTGGCACCGGCCAGGCGCGGGCGCCCGGCAGCGCGGGCGGCGGGGCAGGCGGCCCCGCGTGGCCGAGGAGGCGCCTCCCAGCGCGCGACCGCCAGGGGCCGCCCGGGGCGGCACTGATGATCGGGATGCGCGGCTGGCGGGTGGCAGCGGCAGGAGGTGCCACCGTAAGCGGCACAACTGGCCCATCCAGAGCCCGCTCTGGCCAGCTGTGGGAGCCGCGCCGGCACCGAGGGCAGCGACCCTGCCGCGGGCCACCCAGCTTGTCTTGGACTCCGCATCTAGTCGGTGTCTTTTGTTTTTTACCTAACAGCTTGTTCTTATATGTTTCTAGTGGTGTCAAAAGTCGTTTTAAACCAACAGTCACACACTTCGTGCTCTTCGACCTCCCAGAACTCCATTCCCGGGCCACATTCTGAATGCCCGGAGCCAACTGTAGGCCACTTCGTGGTCTTCGACTTCCCAGAACTCCATTCCCGGGCCACATTTTGAATGCCTGGAGCCAACTGTAGGCCACTTCGTGGTCTTCGAGTCCTCAGAACTCCATTCCCGGGCTAGATTTTGGATGCCCGGAGCCAACCGTAGGCCACTTCGTGGTCTTCGAGTTCCCAGAACTCCATTCCCGGGCCAGATTTTGGATGCCCGGAGCCAACTGTAGGCCACTTCGTGGTCTTCGAGTTCCCAGAACTCCATTCCTGGGCATGATTTTGAATGCCCGGAGCCAACTGTAGGCCATTTCGTGTTCTTTGAGTTCCCAGAACTCCATTCCCGGGCCACATTTTGAATGCTGAGGCAGGCTGAGGCTGAGGCTGA